TGTTGCAAAGTAATGGCCAAGGAATATTATTCTTCATGTTGCAACCCCAGTGATCTCCCCTTTTTAAATATCATTTTAAATTATAGGACAGAAAAAAATGTAGAATTTCCATTATCCCTAATCTGCGACCCATGTCAAACTGCTTTTATCTCAGTGAAGACTGTTTCCACAACACCTATTTTTAACATAAAATCCTACATAATGAAGCATGAATGATTATTCATGATAAACCTTCAAAAGAAACCACCCACAACCCATTGATGTTGGTGCACTAATTAATTACTTGAGCGTCTCCTGTGTAAAACCATAGAATTATTTCTAATATTTGCTTGAATAGATCATTTTTCTTGTGAAGGATCCACTAAAAGAGTCAAATAGAGTCAGCAGGGTATGAATCTATGCCCGTCTTCATTATGATAATGGTATACTTTTCTCTCAGGAAATTAAAGCTCGTGGCATCCATCCCATAACCCTCGTGTGATGGTGTTCGGAAATGTTTCCCCCCTTTGGCGATCAAGAGGCTTTTGTCCGTCGCTGGTTAAGGCCTGTCCCAGGCAATAAGAAATCCCTGGGGCTTCCCAGACAGCTGTGGATGGGCCGAGCCCAGAGAAAGTGGGTAACTCGTGGAGAGTTATGCAGCTGCTTAGTGAAGAGGTAGAAATCTACATCCAAGGCCATCTGATTTCAAAGTTTTTCCAAAGCTGTTTTCTTCATTACCTAGTGATTTCAATTTTGGCTGTAATACAAATCATCTGGAGTTAAAACACACACACACACACACACACACACAGGACTTGGGTGCCACTCCTAGACAGGCTTATTTTAAAAGGGTGGGGCCCAGGCCTCAGCATTTTCCTTCAAAGCTCCTTGGATGAGTCACATGAAAACCCAGGTTCCTCATTTTTTTTTTTTTTAAGATTTTATTTATTTATTTGACAGACAGAAATCACAAGTAGGCAGAGAGGCAGGCAGAGAGAGAGGAGGGGAGCAGGCCCGCTGCCAAGCAGAGAGCCCGATGCAGGGCTCGATCCCAGGACCCTAGGATCATGACCCGAGCCGAAGGCAGAGGCTTAACCCACTGAGCCACGCAGGTGCCCCTCATTTCCTCATTTGTAAAACAGGGAGACTAGATCTATCTCACAGACTTCTTTGAGAATGAAATGGATGCCAAAAAAAAAAAAAAAAAGTCTACTCTTGTGCCAGTACATGGTTGGTGCTTAATAAATGTTAGTTCTCACCTCCCCAGTACCCTCTGACTTGGCTCTGAGAAGTGCTACTGTGTCTCCATAAGTTGGAAAATGAAAACTAAGTGTTCGTTTGTAGGTGGAGAGGGTGGAAATCTGTGAGAACAAAGGGAGGAGGGCAGCTAGGAATGTTACACTGTCAGAAGGTGGTGAAAGGGAATGTAACAAGCAAACAAACAATGGGCTGAAAATGGAAACAAAACCACTAACAGCTAAAATACAGTTATGCAAAGGCTTGTTTTGGAACAGATCCAGGATGGTCTGAGAGCCAGTCCCTGTCGGGGATGAGTGGATACTGTGGGGTCAGGGAGCCATTACAACTCCCTTGCTTAGGCGAGGTACCCTCCTCTGGGTTTCTTACATTGCCTTTAAATGAGGTTTTGATTTTACATGCAAAGAAAGTATTTATGAATTGGGTAGAAGCCTGTGCTCTTCTGTTGGGCAGGGCTGTTGCTCCTTGGTCAGCAATGCCTGGTTCAGAGCAAAACTAGAGCCATTATCAACTAAGCTAAGTCCAAACAGAGACTAGGGTCAATGCGACAGACTTTACGACTGCTTCTTGCTACAAGTGGCAGCCTTAATCCCTTCCCCTTTTGTTTCAGGAATGCTGAGTTTGTCTAATTAGAGAAGAGTCTAATGTCAGGAGAGACAAAATCTGCACCCGTTTTGCTTCCATAAAGAATGCCTGTCTTGAAATAGTTGTGACCTGACGTAGGAAGGCAGAGCAAAGAGTCACAAGGAAATGGGGTCTGGGGCCCTTGCTGTGGAAGCCTATCAGTTACCTGAGCCAGTTCTGAGTTGGTTTTCTGCAGCTTGCAAGTCAGAGTCCCCCAGTGGGTATGGTTATTGTTAAAGAAGGCAAGCTCACATTACACAGTTACCCACTCGGTCACAGAAGACTGGGCCTTGGACCTGGAACACTTCCTTACCGAGGGATAAGGAGCCCACACAGCCTGTGCTGGGCTGACTGCCTTGTGTGGGAGTATCTTTCCGTGTTTCATGCTCGGTGAACTGTCCTTCACTCTGCTTAAGCCTGTACGTCAGTGGCCCACAGGTTCACACGTAACTTGCAGTATTTCAGACTTCATGGGGAGTGGTCAGAGTTCTGCTGTCACACGAGAGGGGTGTGCCTAGGCCAACTGCCTGCACTGGCTGCCCAGGGGACCTGCTGGCCATGGGGGACCGACCCCCCACTATCGACGCTGGTCTTCTGTGTTTTCCCCGTGTAAGCCCAACATCTTTCCATTTAGTGCTTGACCGTGTTGTGTTTCCCCTGGCAACTCTGATGGCATCATGTAATGGGCAGAAGTGTTTAGAGTCCTATGGTAGCTGGTACGCAGTGTTCTGCCCCCCCCCCCCCCCCGCCCGGGATTGACAGCTGGTACACGACATTCTGCTCGACAGTGCTATATAGTCATATTTTGCACAGAAGTATAGCGAGTGCCTTAGCTTTAGGTAAGCAGAATGGTGACCAAATTCCTTGGCATTTGTAGTTGTATTCGTTGGAAATTTTGAAAACAGATCATAAAGTAACCAAGAAGGAGTTTAGATAAAAAGGGATCTGTTAGAAGGATCTTGGGATAATTCATCGCACCATTTTCTCAGCGGGACAGTGATATGGTTGATAGAAAGATGCCATTGACAGAGTTAAAGAAATGTGTTTTCGCTGATGTCAAAAGACCCAGAAACTTAGCTTCATGCACCTTAACTGCATATTCTGTAGGAGAAGATGCTGCTGGCATCCTTGATTCCTCCAAGATCCCTTTACGGCCCGTGGGCACAGAGTGACAATGTTACTGGGTAGGAGAAACACTCACCTGCCTCTTCTCCGGAGGTCTTTTTACTCTCTTAGCCCCTTTTAGTCATACCAGGGAGCCTGGCTACCTGCTTGCCTACTTGCCAGATATAAGAAACGGACACAAAACAGTTCCTCATTTGCCGTGAGACTGGTGACAGCAGATGTTCATTTACCACAAGTCTCTGGTTCTGAGACTTGAGACCTGCTTGAGGTTGTCTTAGCTCAGGCAGCTGTCGTAGAATACTGTGGGCTTGGTGGCCAGAGCAGCAGTTCTATCTCACAGTTGTGGAGGCCGGGAAGCAGGAACCTCAGGGTCGGCATGGTTGGGTTCCAGTGAGAGCCCTCTTCCCAGTTTCTAGATGGCCATCTTCTTGGTGTGTCCTCGCACTGGCAGAGTGCAGGGAGAGGAAGCAAGCTTGGTCATGTCTCTTCGGAAGGCACTAGTCCCGCTCGTGTGGCTCTGGCCAGACTTAATTACTTCCCAAAGATCCCACCTCCTCGTACCCTCACACCAGGAGCAGGGATCTCAACACAAGTTTTGTGAGGACACAAAGTTCAGTCTATAACATGGATTGCAGAGTCGGGGGGGGGCGGTGATGGGAGCTGGGAGGAGGGTATTGTGATTAGCAGCACTGATGGCGCAGGGAAGACAGGCCTCAAGAAGAAAGAATGGGTTGTGGCAGAAGGTGGGGTATCACATATGATAAGTAGATCCCAGCACAACAGCAAACAATAAACCTTCAAAATCCAAATAACCTTCATCGCCAATGCCACTGGCCCTGTTCAGGAGCAGATGTCATCCCTGAGAGCTTCATTTCTTAAAGAACGGTGCCCAGCAGAGTTGTTTTTCTAATCTTGTTCGGTCCTGACAAATATTGCCGAGCTCCTGTCCCTTCAAGGAAACACGTACCATACAGTTGGTGACCGTACAGTTCCATTTCTCTAAAATATCTAGAATAGGCAAGATCCTGGAAACAGAAGGTAGATTGGTGGTTGCCAGGGATTGGGGGCCGGGGGGAAGGTGCAGGTGATAGCTTAAGGATACGGAGTTTCTTTCTGAGGTCATGCAGATATTCCAAAAGTCTGTTGCTGGTTGCACAGCTTTGTTGACATACTCCAAATGATTGGCTCGCATACTTTAAATGGATGCATGATATGGTATGTGAATTGTGTCTCAATACCGCTGTTTAAAAAAAAAGAAGAATTAAAACAGAGAGCTGAATGGTTTCCTAGGAAAGAAGCTTAGAAATTGGCAAAACAAGGAGAGCAGACGGACATCCTTTCAGCAAACCAGACCTACAACAGAAGTCTGTGGGTGGGGACAAGGTCATTATTTAACTCAGAGCTATTCTAAGTGTGGGCTCCCCACCAGCAGCTGAGTGTCCTGGGAGCTCAGCAGAAATGTAAATTCTTGGGTCCTACCCCAAACTACCAAATTGGATTCCCTGGGGATCACTAACCTCGAGGAAGCATGAATTTAATTCATTGTCATTTTTAATAAACAGGAACTCCTTTCCTAACAGTATGCAAAGTGCTACCAACTGTGCTTCCCAAACTGTGGGTCAAATAAGATGTAAAAGCAGCAATAACATGCTTAAAAAAAAAAAAAACCCGTCACTTGGGGGCCCCTGGCTGGCTCAGTTGGAAAAGCATGAGACCCTTAATCTCTGGGTCGTGAGTTCAAGCCCCACGTTGGGTGTAAAGATTGCTTAAGTAAACAAATAAATCAAAACTTTAAAAAAAAAAGGTACTTAGACAAAAGAACCTGATTTCTGTACTTTGCAGATAATGATACCAACGTAGCAGGGCTTATTAACAACCAGTGGTTACTTGCAATGAAGACAGTTTATTTGCTGGAAGCTGCTGAAGCAGTTAAGTAGACTGATGTGCCTTGAAGCTGCAGCTATTTTCTCCGTGACCTGCTGGAAAGATACCTCTATCATTTTTCTCCACTGCAGATGCTGAAATTGGTGTGAATGCCATGAAAGCCGAGATGCAGGTGGAAATTCAGAGATAATTTTGTCATCTTGAAAGCCAATTACTTGCTCCAATGCCACATTTCCAGATCCAAGGTCTGAGGACAAATTTATCTCCCGTAATCATGTGAGGCAATGTAAGTGCCGCACACTTATTAGAGCAAGAAAAAAACAATCTTAAGGTTGCTTCTGAAAATATTCAGAAATTAGCCTCTTTAAGCCATGCCCAAGAGCTTGGTTGGCGAGCCTTGGTCAGTGAACTGGCACCGTCGCTTTAACTCTAAACTTTAACCTTTAACTCTAGGAGGTGAATTTTGACCTTGGTCAGTTACTGTTAGGAAGGAAACTTAGATCGGTGGCAACATTCCCAGAAACAGAAATCCACGCTGGCCATGTTGGCCGGCGCACGCCAATTCTGACTTCACTTGAAAGTGAATGTCCGTTTGGTACAAAATTGCAGTCCAGCTGCTGTCTGAGCCCTGATGTTTCTGTAGCTACAGGAAAATGTCACACTTTTTTTTTTTTTTTACCAATTTTTTTATAGACATATAATGTATGAAAATGTCACACTTTTAAAATAATGACAACTATAACTTTTCGTAATAAAATTGTAATATTTTGGAATGAAATTTATATATGGAAGTTCATTCTAGGATAAAATACAGTTGACCCTTGAACAAAAAGAGGGTTAGGGTCCCAACCCCATTTGCCATTAAAAATCCATGTATGGGGTGCCTGGGTGGCTCAGTGGGTTAGAGCCTCTGTCTTCGGCTCAGGTCTTGATCCCAGGATCCTGGGATCAAGCCCCGCATTGGGGTCTCTGCTCCGCAGGGAGCCTGCTTCCTTCTCTCTCTCTGCCAGCCTCTCTGCCTACTTGTGATCTCTGTCTGTCAAATAAATAAATAAAATCTTAAAAAAAAAAAAAAAGAATATCGCCTCTTAGCGTAAGGCGAGGCATTAAAAAAAAAAAATCCATGTATAACTTTTGACTACCCTCAACCTTAACATACTACTTTTGACCCAAAGCCTTACTGATACCATGAAGTCAATTATCATGTATTTTGTATGTTGTATGTATTATGTGCTGTCTTCTTACAATGCCTAATCCTTTCTCTCTCTCTTTCCCTCCCTTTGTTCCTTCCTTCCTTCCCTCTCTCTTTCTCTCTCTCTCTTTCTTTCTTTCTTTCTTTCTTTCTTTCTTTCTTTTTGGTATTTCCAGGCTATGCATTTTGTCTGCAAGTTTTTTCCAAATTGTGGCAAATCTTGTCGTCTCCAACTCCACATCCTCTCATGTCCTGTTCAGTTCTCCCTCTCTCCTTTCCCTTCTCTGTTTTGTCCCTCTCAGGAGGCAAACACAGATCACTTCCATTTTCTGAAGGGAGCAATTTGGCCCTGTCTCACCTCTACCTCCCAGTTTAGTGAGGGCCTTTATTCACAGAGCTAAGGCCTTATAGTAAGTACTGAAACCTAGAGCAGGGGCACCTGGGTGGCTCAGTCTGCCTTTGGCTCAGGTCATGATCCCAGTGTCCTGGGATCGAGTCCTGCATCGGGCTCCCTGCTCGGCAGGAAGCCTGCTTCTCCCTCTCCCACTTCCTGTGCTGTGTTCCCTCTCTTGCTGTGTCTTTCTCTGTCAAACAAATAAATAAAATCTTAAAAAAAAAAAAGAAAGAAACCTAGAGCAGCTCCTTCCCCAGACTCTTACAGAGAAATATGTATGTATTAGCAGGTATATGTACTATAGTTTATATATAATTTATATAATATATATGCAAACAATAGATATACTAAGTATTAAACTAAAAAAAAGTCCAATGAGTGGAAATAAGGGGTACTTGGTATAATTCTTTATACCATCTTTATGATTTTTCTGTAAATCTAAGTTTACTCCAAAGTAAGAAAAAAAATTTAATGGATGGAAGACTAATACATCGGAAAATAAAACAATCCCACCAGCAAGACCCCTCTCTGTGCTAATGAAAATTCGTGCTGCAGATAGTCCGCACAAGAGACTATGAAATTAGAACAAACTCTCACAGATGTAGAGCAAAGCAGAAAGAAGAACAGTGACTTCTCCTATCTCCTGAGGAGACAAAGGGCTTAGTACCTCTCTCGAGAGCCCCTTCAGCTAATTCCAGCGATACACACATTTACATATCTAGAGGCTATTTGGCTCTCAACCTTAGAGATAACTCCAGCATTAAAATTGGGGGCTGGAGAGACTTATCTCTATTCTAAAGGTTAGAGTAAGGACTCTGATTTATGATGTTACTCTGTCTTAGAAAACATTGTGAGAGAAGGGTCAGGAGTGGGAGAGAACGGTCTCTTTGCCCTCTGTCAACAGAGAAATGATTTTTTTTTAAAGATTTTATTTATTTATTTGACAGACAGAGATCACAAGCAAGCAGAGAGGTAGACAGAAAGGGAGAAGCAGGCTCCCTACCAAGCAGAGGCCCTATGCAGGGCTCCATCCCAGGACCCTGGGATCATGACCTGAGCCGAAGGCAGAGGCTTTAACCCACTGATCCACCCAGGCGCCCCTAGAGAAAATTTTTTATTTACTCTCACAATACCTAGTGCAGAAGCTGTGCCTCAAAGAGAACTAACATTCTGCTGGTAAGGATGTGAATTGGTAAACCCCTCTGGAAAACAGTTCTGCATCCCCTCGAAAAGCGAAGGTGCACATGCCCCATGGCCTTACCGGTATACTCTGAAGAAACTTTGGTCTCTGTGTACCAGGAGACATAAAAAATTCCACCACAGCTTTATTCAAAATAGCAGGAAACTGGAAACAACCCAATAGTCCGTTGACAGAATGACGACTACATGGCAATATATTCACATCGTAGGATACCGCAGAGCAGTCATCGTGATTGAACTAGAATTTCACCTATCGAGATGGCCTTATCTCACAAGGATACTAAGGAGTAAAGAAAGTCCTAGAATACAGAGGATGAACACACACACAGCGTTCAAAAGCAAGCAACTCGAAACAGATATTCTTCAGGGATACATGATAAGTTTGGTGAAGCTATTAAGAAAAGCAAGGGAGGGGCGCCTGGGTGGCTCAGTGGGTTAAAGCCTCTGCCTTCGGCTCAGGTCGTGATCTCAGGGTCCTGGGATCGAGTCCCACGTCAGGCTCTCTGCTTGGTGGGGAGCTTGCTTCCCCCTCTCTCTCTGCCTGCCTCTCTGCCTACTTGAGATCTCTGTCAAATAAATAAATAAAATCTTAAAAAAAAAAAAGAAGGAAAGAAAAGCAAGGGAGTAGAACAATTAACAAAATTCAACACAGTGGTTTACTGCTGGGGGTAATACAGTCTTTGAAAATATGAAGTAACTCATGATAGGTAGTTTTGTTTTAATGGCCGGTAGAAATGGCAAAAGCCCAGGGAGAGCTGAGTGCTGGCAGGATTTCCAGAGCAGAACCCCTTGGAAGGCACTGAGACTTCATTTGGCCCTTTGAAGGGAGGAATCACATAGTTTTTCAAACCTGGAATGAATATGAGTTCTTTGCCCTGCCCCCTCCTTTTGCAGATGAAGAAATTGAGATACAGGGAAGTACCTTTCTTAAATTTTTTTACTTTTAAAAGATTAAAAAAAAATTTTTTTAAAGTAATTTCTACACCCAGCATGGGGCTCTCACACTCATAATCCTGAAGTCAGGAGTCCTACGCACCACCAGCTGAGCCAGCCAGGAACCCCAGGATGTATCGTAAAAAAAAAAAAAAGAAAAAGGCTTTTAAAAATGCTTAATGTATTCTCCACATTGTCAGACCAATTGCAAGGTGGAAAATTGGAGTGAAAAGCTCTTTTGAGAAGAGCCTTTTAGGTGTTGAACAATGTAGCTGGGCATATGTCAGGTTGCAATTCTCTTTTTCTTGGTCTTTGTACTGCTCTCTGCTCAGTATATGGGCCTAGCCTTATTCAAGGGACCCTGAATGGGTTCGTGAGCTATTAGTTGTCCCGCATGACAGGTAGCTGCGAGTGGACAGGTAACCTCAGTCTTCTCTGCTTCCCCTCTGTCTGGGACAGCATCCTGTCCATGGTGCTCTAAAACTCCCGGGTCATCAGCCCAGCACACCCACAGAGTGCCAGATGCTAGAAACATGATGTATCATTCACATCATCTTTGTTTTTGTTTTTTGTTTTTTGTTGGAAAGATTTACTTGTTTATTTGACACACACAGACAGAGAGAGAGAGAGAGAGAACAGCAGGGGAAGTAGGAAAGGGAGAAGCAGGCTCCCTGCTGACCGGAGAACCCCAGACAAAGGCAGATGCTTAACTGCTTAACCAACTGAGCCACACAGGCGGCCCTCACTTCATCTTTTTTTTTTTTTTTTTTAGATTTTATTTATTTATTTGACAGAGAGAGAGAGAGACAGTGAGAAAGGGAACACAAGCAGGGGGAATTGGAGAAGGAGAAACAGGCTTCCCGCCATGCAGGGAGCCCGATGCAGGGCTCAATGTGGGGCTTGATGTGGGGTTCGATGTGGGGCTTGATCCCAGGACCCTGGGATCATGATCTGAGCCAAAGGCAGACGCTTAACTGAGCCACCCAGGCGCTCTCCTCACTTCATCTTGAGAAAGCTATCCCCATTCATGGTACCATTCACGTAACTACTTGGGAATTATAATCTCCCCTCCCACATTGGAGGCTGGTCATCCTCAGGTTCCAGCTCAGAGCTGCCTGACTTCAAAGTATGGGCTGCTTTTACTTACTATAACCTACTGACTATGTTATCTTTGCCACTCTGTTTAATTCTGTTTGATTCCTGGCTTTCCCCTGTCATCAAATTGTAATTTACCTATTCATTTACAGTCCTTTATTCATGATATTAGTACTTCACTGGAAATCAGTTTGCCAGATTAAATGTTCTGCAGTATTTGGGACGGGTTTATACTGAAAAATGATTTCAAGTTTACCTGAAATTCAGATTTAACTGAGCATCCTCTATTTTGAATTTGCTAAATTTGGCAACCCTAACCCAAAACCTTTGAGAAGGCACTTTATTATTTCCAGCGAGGCTTTCCTCCTCATGAAAGATGGAGAAAACACATGAGATATGTTGGCCATCGAGTAAAGACCTTAAAGAAGTCTTCTCAAGTGTTAACTGGGGGTGATCATATCCCC